AATTAAAGTCAGAACATCATAATAATGAAACAAGAAAATAAAAAGAAAATCTTATCTGTGTTTTGGGAAGCTGCAGGACTTTTTCCAGATTGTTTCGGCTCCATTCACACAAGGAAAGCTGTGACTGGAGACAGAAATGACAAAACTCTTCCACAGATCATGACAGAGCTGCTGCAGGATGGCAGCCTTGGTTTATGTAGGAATAAACCCAGAATATAACCAGCTGATCTGAGTAGCCTCTACTTGCAGATGAATTGCACTTATCTGTGATCAGTCTCAGTCTGTCTGAGTTAGGTTACAAAATCGACAGTGTAGACAATACAAAAGGTTACGTGTAAATGTAAAATTAAAAACAAAAGTGTCCCTTTTCTCCCATAGTTTGTGTTTTGTCCTTGTCTCCATGTACTCTTTTTTTTATTGGTATCAGACTTACAGATGAACACCTTCATTCACCTTTTCTCTCTGAACCCCACACCAGACATACAAAGCTCTCCACCATCGCCCTTCCCTGATTCCCCCACCCAACATGGACTGGACTGGACTGATTCTTATAGAGCGCTTTTCTACTCTCCCGGAGTACTCAAAGCGCTCTATACAGCATGCCTCATTCACCCAATCACACCCACTCGTACAAGCACTTCTAAACTCAAGTGCAACTAATAAGCATTCACACACATTCACACTCCGATGAATGCATCGGAGGGCAATTTGGGGTTAGTATCTTGCCCAAGGATATTTGGCATGCAGACTGGAGGAGGAATCGAACCACCAACCTTCCAATCAGTAGCTGATCTGCTCTACCACCTGAGCCACATCCACACCAACTGTTGCCTACAAACAATTAGATTGTGTTGTATGCTGTTGTGTATTTGTAACATAATGTAATATGTAATGGGAGCACTGTGAAGTTCAAATTCCTGTGTATGATGTGTACGTATGGTTTTTGACAACAAAGCTTTGACTCTGATGTATACCAATGCTCTAGCTGCCTCTGCCATGATGGACACATGTTCTTTGGATCACGTTCTCCTTTCTGTTCTCCTTCAAACGTTGTGATCAGAGTTCATCCTGGTTTCATCTGTCCAAAGACATTGTTTTTCCATTTCGAGAGCAAAGTCTTGTTTCTGTCAAAGTCTAATCTGGCCTCCAGTGTAACCTGTGGTTTGCACCTTGTTGTATTTCATTCATTCATCTCTTGATTGTACACTGTTGCCAATGATACACCTAAATCCTCAAGTGAGTCCCTGAACGATGTTAAGCTGTTTTTCTTAACCATGGAACTACTTCTGCCATTATCCACTCTTGAATCTTGCGATCAGCCTTTATTGTGTTATTTGCATCATTTCCCTGTGTTTCTGTCCAAAGGCTTATACGTTAGGTTGATCTCATTCTAAATTGGCTATAGGTGTGGACTCAAGCTAAATAAAAACCCCCCGAGTTGCCAGTAACACTGGACGCAATTTTAGTTCTTGTCTTCCACCCAGCTGTTAGAAGCAGGTCCTGTAAGTTGAGGTGTACCACAGACCCCTTTTCCTAACTTCCAGAATTGATTATCCGTGTCTTTGTGTTCTTAGTCATCCAGGTGAAGGGGTGATTCAACTTATTTCAATAGCACGATCCGGCAGTTTAGGCATCACCATTGGAGGAGGTTCCAACAGGCCTGACGGCCCTGCAGTCTTCATCCAGGAGGTCCTGTCAGGAGGAGACTGTCACCGGGTAAGAAAAGAGGAAAGCAGCCTCAAATAAACCTAAATTGCAATGAGAGGGAAAGATGAGCGGTGTGATGAAGTGGAAGACATGCCATCATGGAGCAAAGCCTTTGCTTATTTAAATCGCAGTTTGTGTTACAGTTTGTGTTACAGTTTGTGTTAGCTAAAGGTCCTATCACCTTTCTTTTTACACAAACTGCAGAACAAGACGTACAAACTACACTTACAGCTAACAAATCTCCTACAGTGAGACTTTGCCATCATCTTTGTCAACATTCAGTTTCAGCATGCTTGCTTGAGCCCTCACTCCTTGATCTCTGAGTGGAAGGCCATGAGATAACTGAATGAAACATGAGTAGAGAGGAAGAGGAGAAATGAAGCACCGTTTAATCTCCTTTTCCTTGCTCTTCCGCTGTCCTCATGCTTTATCCATAAGAATAAGAAAGAAGAAATTGAGGCGTGCATATGCAGACTAGTCATAAAGTGTTTTGAGCGGATAGTGTCTCAGCAAATCAGAGACTGTACCCCCTCCCTTGACCCCCACCAGTTTGCTTGCTGTGCAAATTAGTCCATGGAGTATGTTGTTCCCATCACCCTTCAGAGAGCACTGAGCCATTTGGAGAACAGGAAGCACTACATGAGGATGCTCTTCTTTGACTACAGCTCAGCCTTCAACACCTTACTACCAGACATCCTCACCACCAAACTGATCCAAACTGATATGGAGTTCCACAGGGTTCATTGCTAGGACTAGTTCTTGGAGATCATTTTTCTGAATTTCAGGAGCAGGACCTTCACACACACCCCTTCTTTGTCTATACATGACCCGCCTCTCCCCCACTACAAGCTGTTCGTTCGTGTTTTCTTTCTCTCATTGTTTACTAGAAATGCTGTCAAACCTAAAATGAGTATGTGGTCCCGGCTAGTAAATGTCTACATTATACATGCTTCCCTGAGACAGTAACATTAGAAGGCATAACATAACTTCTAAATTCAGATCAAACTGAGGTTATTGTACTCGGCCCTGAAAATCTTAGAAATATGGTCTCTAACCAGATTCTTACTGTGGATGGCATTACATTGGCCTCCAGTAACACTGTGAGGAACCTTGAAGTCATTTTTGACCAGGACATGTTCTTCAACGCACATATTACACAAATATGTAAGACTGCTTTCTTCCACCCCTCTGTGAATGAGAATATCGTGGTGGAAGGGAACAGTTCACCCTGCCCGCGATGGGGTTACCGGGGCCCTGCCCTGGAGCAAGGCCCGGGGAGGGTGCCCGAGGGTGAACGTCTGGTGGCCGGGCATTAGTCCATAGGGCTCGGCCGGGCACAGCCCGAAAAAGGGACATGGGCCCATCTTCCTGCAGGCCCACCACCCGCAGGAGGTGCCGTAGGGGTCGGGTGCAAAGTGAGCCGGACGGTGGCCAGGAGCAGAGGCCCTGGCGGACCGATCCGATCCCTGGCTACCAAGACTGGCGATTGGGACATGGAATGTCACCTCTCTGGTGGGGAAAGAGCCCGAGCTAGTACGTGAGGTTGAGAGGTACCGGCTAAATATAGTCGGGCTCACCTCAGCGCATGGCCTGGGCTCTGGAACCAGTCTCCTGGAGAGGGGCTGGACTCTGTCTCAGTCTGGAGTTGCCCCTGATGAGAGGCG